CACAATGATACCTAAAACAAACTCACCAAGAACAGCAGCATAGCAAAAGAAAGAGAAAGTTCAAATTACATGCCCCTCTTGCAGCCAAGTGAACTTGTAAAACTTACCTTTTTGTTTCTAAGCCTCATCTCTGTACTATCTATAATGATGCCAAGGCCACCTTTCAGCGCTGATTCTTTTTTTTTTTAAGATTCATTTATACAAGAACCTGGGTACAGGCCAGATGCATGGGAGGGTGAGAGGATTCACCAGAGACAGAGTGGGGAACAGAACAGGCAGACTGATGAAATACACTGCTAAGGGGAGCAGCAGGTGAGGCAGGAGAGGTCTGCTATGCCATGTGGGTTTCACCCGACTGGCCGGGATCAAAGCCACGCCGCAGAGGCTGCGGACAGCTTCACAGCATTGCGCTCAACCACCTGTACCACCAGGGAGGCCCTCAGCACTGGTTCTTAATCAAGCACACATGCATCCATCTCACTCAGAGGCCTTTCGTTTTACTTTTAACTATATATACAGATACCCACGTCCCAAGATGGGATGGGGCCCAGGTGTGTGGATTTGCAACTTTGCTCTGATGATTCTGATGTGGACTCTTATCAGTCAAGATGGTAAATAGCTTATGCTGAAGCAATAAGGGAATTCTGAATTTCAGATGATTTCACACAAACTATTTCTTATTCATATTTTACATTCAGTGTGGGTTGTGGTGGAGAAGGAGACTGCTCCATAGTTACCCAGGACTCAGAATTACAGAGGACCTGCTGCCCAGAACTTTCCATCATCACACAGGGCAAAATGCAAAAAGCAATTAAATGTTTGCCCTGGAAGTAACCTGTACTACCAGCTCAGAACCCTTTAGAGAGAACTAGTCACATGACTACAAGAGAATTGGAATGTGAGAGGTGGAAAGGGGTTTAATTTCTAAAACATATAAATAATTCATGCAACTCAATAAAAAATAGAAAAAAATGGGTGAAAGACCTAAATAGACATTTCCCCAAAGAAGATATTCAGTTGGCCTGTAGACACTTGAAAAAAGTTCAGCATTACTTATTATAAGGCTAATGCAAATCAAAAACACAGTAAGATAACACTTCACTCTCCTGTGAATAGTTTATATAAAAAAGATTAGAAACAACAAATGTTGGCGAGCATGTGAAGAAAAAGGAACACTCACTCTCTGTGGGTTGGAATGTAATGTGGTGCATCCTCTATGCAAAATGGTATGGAAATTCCTCCTAAAAACAGCAAAATTCAGGTCTCCCTGGTGGCACTGGGGTTAAAGTCTCAGCACTATCAAGTTATTGCCAGCCACTGCAGCATGAGTTTGATCCCTGGCCAGAGAGCTGACCCACAAGGTGCAGCTGACCTCTCCTACCTTGGCTGCTGCTCCCCTCAGCAGTGTATTTCAGTAGATCCACCTGTTCTGCTCCCCGTTCTGTCTCTGGTGAATCCTCTCACCCCCCTGCACCTCTGGCTTAAACCCCAGTTCTTATATGCATAAATAAATTTAAAAAAGCAATGGTAGTACCATATGATCTAACAACAACACTCCAGGGTATTACCCAAAGAATATGAAAACAGTAGTACAAAAAGATTTATGCACTCCTATGTTCAAAGCAGCACTACTCATAGTAGCCAAGCCATACAACTGACTTACATGCCCATCAACACACAGCTGTATAAAGCAACTGTGGCATATATATTCAGTGGAATACAACTCAGCTATATAAAAAGATGAAATAGGGCCTTCTGGCACAGAACATATCGATCTTGAGGTGATTATACTAAATGAAATAAGCCAGAATATGAAATGCAGTTAATAGAGGTTTTCACTCACTTGTGGATTACAAATAACCAAAGAAAAACTGGTAAACCACAGCAAAAATAATTCTTAGACTCTGTGAAAAATATGTTGGTTATCAGAGGGAATGGGGCTGAGGGAAGAGGGAGAGAGGGTAGCATACTGACACTGGAATTTTGGTGGAGAGTGAGTGAAACATTTGCACATATGGAGGTGCAAAATTGTACTCCAAAAATTAAAAGGGCCTCCCTGGTGGTGCAGCGGTTGAGCGCTGGGTTGCGAAGCTGCCCACAGCCTCTGCAGCGCCGGTTCGATTCCCGGCTGCTCCCCAGCCACTGGAGGAGGGTCCCACATGGCGCACAGACCTCTCCTGCTGCCCGCTGCTCCCCTCAGCAGTGTACTTCGTCAGTCTGCCTGGTCTGCTCTCCTCTCTGACTCTGGTGAATTCTCTCACCCTCCCGCTCTTCTGACTATACCCAGTGCTTGTATAAATAAATAAATAAATAAATAAATAAATAAATCTTTAAAAAAAAAACAAAAATTAAAAAATTGTGTAAACAACCAACAAGTCAATTTTTATTTTTATTTATTTATTTATTTATTTAAAAGATTTATTTATTTACACAAGCACTGGGAATAGTCAGAAGCGCGGGAGGGTAAGAGGATTCACCAGAGCCAGAGCGGGGAGCAGAGCAGGCAGACTGACGAAATACACTGCTGAGGGGAGCAGTGGGCGGCAGGAGAGGTCTGCGTGCCATGTGGGACCCTTGCCCGGCAGCCGGGGATCAAACCAGCGCTGCAGAGGCTGCAGGCAGCTTCCCAACCCAGCACTCAACCACTGCGCCACCAGGGAGGCCCACAAGTCAATTTTTAAAATGCAATTCCTCAGTCACAGGAGACTCATATCAAGTACATAACAATAACATGTGCCTGTGGCTACTCTATGGGACAGCTTACACATGAAGGATTTCCATCACTGCAGAAAGTTTCTTTGAATAAAGCTTGCCTAACATACTTTGGGCTCCTTTCCCTTGGGGACCATGACTCCATGCTGTGCCCCAGCTTAACAGAAATGCTCTGACAGGGGTGCTGCCCACTGTTCAGAAGCTCGCCACAAGGAAGGGCTAGACTTTCATACAGCAGAGAATGTAGACTCAGGACTAAGGGAAGGTATGGGGTACATTTCAGGTTAGCAAAGCTCATGATAAAAGGATAGATGAGAAAAGTATACAATAATAAAATATACATAATAAATATACAATATAAATTATTGTATATAAATATACAATAAAATATACATAATAAAAGGGTCATGTGGAAGATGTGTGGACACAAACAAAGATAAAAAATGGTTGCAAAGGCAAATCTGTAACAATTACATTATGATTCAATACATAGAGAAGGCAGAAATGATTTTACATGTTCTTGCAAATATGTCTGTAGAGTAAATGGACTAAAATCTATCTTCTCTGAAAACAGATTGGAAGGTGATGGGGATAAATTTATGGATGAGGAATTTCATTTTATGTATAGGGTAGGCTGTATTAGAGTGAAAAATAACTGTACAAATACTCATCTATAATGTTGTAAAATTAAATCTATACCATATTCTTATAATATGAACAACACTGTATTATCAGAATATGTGAGAAAATATGGCATAAGTTTTCTGAATGATTGTTCAATGCCTCTTCTACAGTTATGATTCTCTTTGGGGGGCCCTTGCATATATAGTGACACGAGATTCTATAATTGTTCAGGACAGCAGTTCTCACAGTGTGGCCCAAAGACTCCAGGAGATCCCTGATGATTTTCAGGTAAAACTACTTTCCTGATAGTACTGAGATGTTACTTACTGATGGTGTGAAAGCTTTCTGGCCTTTTAGAACAAAACCAGGTAGTGGGACAAAATTGTTTTAGCAGTCATGTTTTTCAACACACTTGCAGAAAAAACAAATCCAAATTATTTTCACTAAGAATGCCTTCCTTGATGAAGCGTTAAAAATATACTAACTTTATTTAATCTCGACCCTTGCTACGTCTTCATGGTGAAATTAGAAGATGTAAAAAGCACTTCTGTTGCACACAATGGTTGCCTGGAGGGAAAGCACAAATGTGCTCATATGTGTTGTAAATCAAAGTAGCTGGTTTATTTTATGGAAGATGATTTACCAAGAGACAAACTGTAGCTATTCAAGTTACCCAGATTTGGGTATTTCAGACATTTTTCCAAAAATAAATGAAGAGCTTGCCACTAACTAAAAGACATAATTCCTTGGAAAAACAGTGCAAAAAAGTATTAGAATTAAATAAGTAGATACATAAATTGCTCTTTACCTGCTATAAAAGTGTTTCGGGGCAAGTTTTCTTATTAATATAAACTCTCCTATTTTACTATTTGTAGTAGGTGCTTTTTTTAAAAAATTTAAAGTCCATGTCACTTTATAAATACGTGAGATGAAACAACAACATGTAATTTGACAGGATAGTTGTTAAGTGTGAATTCAGGTACTATAATAAAAGCATCCAAAAATAACTACATAAGTGAGTTTTGTGCTAAACTCTTCATGCTGGTAAAAGCTTGCAGTTACTATTTTAGAAATGATTTGTGATCTTTTTTTAAGGTACCACTACTCAATTTCAATATATTTACTATGTAGTATTTTAAACATTTCCTCCATCATTAAATAAGATGTTTCTGACAGATTTCCAAGTGCTGTTAGATAATTACATCCAAGTGTTGAATCCATTTCTCTTCTTTGAGTTACTGATTGAACTCATAACTTGTTCTTCCAACAAAAAAAAATTGAATAATTTTAAGTAATTTTATGATAAATGATGTTTCATGTTTGTGAGCTCTTGGGGACTGTAATAACCATCCAGTGGTATCTTCATGTGAGCAAGCAGAATGATGTCAATACGTAAATATCTAAATGCCGCTTTAATGTCAATTCTAACAATGAAGTTTCCAAGATACACAGTTTTGGAAGAGAATGACCAAATACAGGAAAAGTAGGGTGATCTTGTGAAAACTTTCTGAAGCCCAAGTGGCATAAAACAATGAAGCCAGTACCGTTAATTTATATGGAAAAATTGTGACCGTTCCAAAATGTTAAAAAATAACCTGTCAAATCATAGTAACCTAAAATAACACTAACCTATAGTAAAAGCAGGAAAGATGCCAATTACACACCTGTATGAAGCAGTTCCTGGGAAGGAGCAGAAGGAGTCTCTCTTGCTTGCTTGGGGCACAGGCTCTTTATAGAACAGCTGCTGCAAAACAGGGAGGCGGAATGGAGAGCTTTACCACGTACAAGCAAATTCAGACTTCCTACTGCTAAAATATGTGTTGCTGCTTTAGAGATAATACTATGTCAAAAGGTATATATTGCAATTTGTATAAAGTGTCAGCAAGTATTTTAAGTAAATCACAATGACTTGAAATTCAAATCCAAACTGGATATTTACTGTTTTCTTTATTGCAAATATGTCTTTCACCAGAGTTACAGAATTGTCTTCTAATGACTATCCAGGAAACTAAATGCATGGCCTTCCACCACCCTGGCACAAATTTCAGTTCCTACTCTAAACTGTGGCTAGCCTCCTTTGCATGGTTATGAAGATGATTTTTCTTTCTTTTTTTAAAGATTTATTTATTTATTTATACAAGCACTGGGTACAGTCAGAAGCGCCAGAGGGTGAGAGAATTCACCAGAGCCAGAGCGGAGAGCAGAACAGGCAGAAGAACGGAAGTACACTGCTGAGGGGAGCAGTGGGCGTGGCAGGAGAGGTCTGAGCGCCATGTGGGACCCTCGCTGGCAGCCGGGGATGGAACCAGCGCTGCAGAGGCTGCGGGCAGCTTCGCAGCCCAGCGCTCAACCGCTGTGCCTCCGGGGAGGCCTGAGATGATTTTTCTTTATGACATTAGCTTCTATTGTTTCAATGTCCATTATTCTGATGTTATGCAAATTTATCACCTCACATTCAATTCCCCTTTTAGATAGACCATTGCAGCTTCTAAGCAGTGGCCCACAGATCTCAAATCAGAAATTATGCTTACATCTATCCCTTCCCTTTCTATTTTGGCTTTTTCAATGGGCACCAGAATATCTTCTGATTGAGCTTCTGAAAGAAATCAAAAGAAAAAGAAATCCTACATCAATTCATTCTCTAATACCACCACTGGATGGTTATCTGGAATGCCTGATTTAATAAGTCCTTTTGCATCCCCTGAACTACAAGGGCTGACCTCCTTTAAGCCCAGGCAGTGCCCATACAAGGGAACAAAATACTGTGTTGAGCTGCTTTGCCTGATGAGGTGTCACTGGGCCCCTGAAGACTATGGACAGACTCTGACATGTAGTGGATCCTGGAAGCTGAAATTATAACCTAGTCAATGGTTTGCATAGAGAAATAGAGGGTTATTAATTCACAAATGGGTCACAACCTAGCTGCACTAGAGCAATTCCAGCAAAGTACATCTTAGAATTTCTTCTATAGGCCTCGACTGACTTTGTAAACTAACCCTGCATTTTCTATCATGCTGGTAACTTCTCCCCCAAGCAGAAATATTTTCTTACCTCCTTCCAGTTATTCATTCATTTCTTGATTTAATGCATCACAAACCATCACCAACTGTGGAAAAGCCTCCTCAGCAGCCAGAGACCTGCTGAACAGCACCAGTGCAGACCTCTGCCATCCTCACCATGTCCTCTTGAAACTGGGGTCCCACAGCAGGACTACAGGGCAAGATTGGCATTTTCCCACTGCTGCTCAGCAGAAGTCAAGAGAAAAACATGGCGGATTTTAGCCCCTGCACCAGAAGTTACTGCCTGGGGGGAGCCCCGCCCCTGTGCCAGCGGGGTTTTGAGTGCAAAGCCAAAGTGGGAGATTCCGGCTGGCTGCCCAGAGCGGCCCCTGAGCAGAACCCAGGCTGCCCTGCTGCAGAAGACTGTGGGAGGGCTACTCCCAGGTCTAGAAATGTTGGGGCTTGGTGGTGGCTGGTGTTAGCCTTTTGATATTTGGTGCCTGGATGGTAGACTAGACCAATGAAGTGTGAGCTAAAACAATTGTGCTCGTTAGTTAATTGTTCAGGGCCAGATGGGCTGATTGGTCCTAAAGTAGTCCAATTGATCACTTAGAATTGCAAATGGAGGCCTCCCCGGTGGAGCAGTGGTTGAGCACTGGGTTGCGAAGTTGCCCGCAGCGTCAGCGCTAGTTCAATCCCCGGCTGCTCCCCGGCCACCAGAGGAGGGTCCCACATGGCGCGCAGACATCTCCTGCCGCCCGCTGCTCCCCTCAGCAGTGTACTTCGGTCCTTCTGCCTGCTCTGCTCCCCGCTCTGGCTCTGGTGAATTCTCTCACCCTCCCGCTCTTCTGACTGTACCCAGTGCTTGTATAAATAAATAAATAAATCTTAGGGGAAAAAAAAAAGAATAATTCTTATAAAAAAAAAATTGCAAATGGTCTAATTAGGCAGGTAACAACTAGGATGGGGGTCCTGAATGAGAATAAGGCAGGGTAAGAGCCAGCTTAGGAGCCCTCACTCCCAGACTCGCAGACACCTCCCATTGTGTTTCTGGTCTTGGAACAAAGAAAGAAGACCACTTCCAAAGACCATGTCTACAACATTCCAAAGGCCAAATGATACATCATGCTTATAGCTGCCATTATTTGCTTAGAATCTGATTTTCTATTCATTCATCTCACACTCTCAGATTCAATCTACTCTCTTCCCTCATTTCATTCTACTCTTCCTCCATATTATTCTGCATGTCTCCATATGGAAATCAACTTGATACAGACAGCTGTCTTCTAAATTGGTTCAGAATGCCTTGACCACAGGCTCTTTTAATTAGGAGAACCAGGTATGCAGAAAGCCAATGTTACTGTTTTTCTTAATAATGACATGAGGAGATTCTATCTACGAAGGAAGATTGAGAGGAATCCCAAAGGAAGTTTCTGGGGTTTTGTTTCAGCAAAGGTGGAGGAATCTTTTCAAGTAGAGTGCATGCCTTCATGGCCAGGACATTAGTTGTTCCAGTCATGAAGAAAGAAAATTAAGGGCAATCTAAATCTCAGAAGCTTTCAACACATGCAGTTGCAGTTGAGCTTTATGGATGCTAGTGGTCTGCAGGCAAGCACTATCAGTGATTAGAGGTTTCAGGTACTATAGAGAATGACTAGAAGTGTTTCTGGGGAAATCTAGGAGCTAGTAATATCAAGGCTGAGCACTCCTGTTCAGACAATGCACATTATAGAGGAGCTGGCTGGCACATGATCAAGGCATCTGATGACAACCCAGCCAGCAGTAAATTTGGAGCATCTGGATGGCCTCAGAAAATGTATGAATTATTAGTCAAGACTCAGTTCCACCAGCACCTCCATCTAGACTTGAAAGAACATTCAATAATCTTGAAATGTCTTCCAGATTCAGCATTAGATCATTTGGAAAAGCTGGGATAAAGGACATCTCTATTTAGGTCCACAAGGCACAGCTGGTTGAATTCTCTCCAATTAACCCCATGCCCTTGAGTTTGCTCAGGTGAGCCTTCACTCCTGCCCAGATCCTTCACTCAGCATCAGGATCTGACAGTACTTAGCCTCAGCTTAAGTCACTCAGCCATGACTTAATAAATATATGCATATCAGGCATTGTGCTAGCTGTGGCTAATCCAAAATCGACAGGCTGTGGAGTTTTTGATTTCTCATTGGGGAACCAGGACTGATCCTGGGAAGGAAATTCAAGCAACGAGGCAGTCATTGCTTAAATTCACTTTAAAGAGCAGTATTTTGAACAGGATCATGGCCACCTTCTTTTCGTTGAACTTATGAGAGGTTGGTTTGCAGCCTCCCTATGTCTAGACAACTGGGGTGACCTGTTCATAGTCCATGTCTAGGGTCATCGTCTAAGGAGTAGCCTCCTTCAAGATGTCAGTAGATTTGAGCCATACTTCTGGAATAGCAGAGTACAGCTATCTTTTAAAATATAGCCTAACAGTAGGAGATAATGACAAAAATCTACCTTACTGTCATGGGGGAGGGGCACTCTGGAAGTCCAAGCTTTGTGGAAGCTCAGTCTTGGGTGTGAAGTGAGGCTGCAGCCTCTCAAATGGGGAGACAGCAAGCTCAGTGTCCTTGTCCAAAAATGCCTTGTGTCATTTAGCTGCTAAATATTTGAGGACAAATCTTCTGAAATTAAAGTAGGTAGCACAAGAATAAATTCAAGCCTTCTGACAGAACTGTTAAAAGCAAAATGATCCTGGAATTATAGCAATGTCTTACAGCATTACTGCAAATATTCTGGAAAGTGAAATGTGAGACAAATCTGGCAACATTTAAGTTTAGAATGTATGTGATATTTGTGTGGGCTAAACACACACAAATGAATTACAAAGAACATGCAGAAGATTCTAAAACCCAGTCCTAGTATTTTCTTTGTTCAGAGTTAGGTAAAAGAATTACACCACTATTTGAATTATCTTCATATGCAAGTTTCTGTATCCATAAAATATAATTGCTCACTAAGTTTGCATTTAGGATAAAGTTTGGAAATGCACAGACTCTCTCTGTGTAAAAAGAAATCAAAGTTATAAATACACACACTTATCTTACTGGATACAAAATGAAGACTTTGATGGAGGACAGCCAACTTAATTTTTTTTTATAATTTATTTTTGTTTAATGCATACAAGAACCGGGGTATAGGCCAGAGGTGCGGGAGGTGAAAGGATTCACCAGAGATTCACCAGAGATTCACAGAGTGGGGAGCAGAACAGGTTGATCTATTGAAATACACTGTGGAGGGGAGCAGCGGGCAAGACAGGAGAGGTCTGCTGTGCTGTGTGGGTTACCTCCCTGGCCAAGGATCAAACTCATGAAACTCATGCCACAGTGGCTGGTAATAGCTTGATAGAGCTGAGACTTTAACCCCTGAGCCACCAGGGGTGCCTCAGCTCACTTAATTTCAATGAACAAAAAGGAGAAATACAGACAGTGAGTGGGTTGTATCCCTACTGTTATCAGGCAGGGTGAGGGACACCCTGAAGACTCCAAACCTGCCTGCTCTAAATAGGTTCTGCTATCTACCTCATCAAGACAAAACACACTCTAATGCTTAAGACCTTCACTATAAAAGAACTTTAATACAATTAGTGTGTAATAAAGAAAAGAGAAAGAATATAGTTCCCAAATCACATACCCAAAGTTACCCATCCACTCGCAGATAAATGTCCAGCCCAATAGGTTTGGCCCAAAGCAGGACTGCTGA